TTGGTATTAATAAAACCCTAAGGCTACTGAAAATATAATTGACCGAACCTGGGTTAGGGACATTCTCATTTTATAACCTACACCACACTGTGGCCAGGGTGCATTTTCCTTTTGATGATCTGCACAGAAACACATTCTGAGTCGATTTATGCATGTCCGTCCGTCCATGTATTTTTGTAAACAAAGTAAAGGTCACATATATTGTCCGAACGAGATGAAACTTTGTACAAATCAAGAACGAACCCTTTTCAAATTGGAGATAATCGGCAACGTTTACATATAGCTCCCATATACAGGGTGAGATAAACAAAAAACTGCAACCAAATTCAGACTGCTGTCATTTCTAAGCCACTCGTCCGACAGCTGTTAAAATTATTCCAACGACAGCTCATTATAATGTTTACAAGCGTTCAAAAGCATTTTGGTGAGAAGTTTCCTGAAAAAAAAAGTTATTCGTGATGGAACTCAAGCGTGATAGTGTGATTTCTTTATATTTGGCTGGAAAACCGCAAGTGGCCATCGTCAGAGCACGCCAGCATATAAATGTGACTAAATCTTTTGTGTCTTGTACCATCGCTCGTTAGTGTGATTGGTGACTAATAACGTAGCCGGATGTCAAGGAAGTGGACAGAAGAAAACAGCAAAATCAGCAGAAATGATTCGAAAATTAAAGAAGCGACTTGATCGAAACCCGAGTCGCAGTGGCCGAAAAATGGATCGGGAACTGAACGTATCGCAATATTTCATTTTGATTTTCATTGAAAAATAAGCTCGGGGTAGAGGCATTGAAATTCCAAAAAGTGCATGAACTCAAAAGAGCTAAATAGTTGCTTCGCTTGGCCGAAAGTGGTGAACTGCCGAATTTGGTTTTCTCCGATCAGAAAACATTCGTTGTCCAGCAGTTTGTAAACAAACAAAATGATTGTGTTTACTTGTTTACTTATGAGCTAAAAATGTGCATCTTCGGTGGGCCACCAGAACTCAAGAGCCGGCCATGGTGATGGTGTGGGCCTCCATAACAGCCGATGGTCTCTCTCCGTTCCGTATTAATCGACCGTGGCATCAAAATAAATGCCGAATATTATTGGTGGGTTTATTAAAGCCTTAGCCACGCAAACATTTTTGCCGCAGACCTTGGACATTCCAACAGGACTCAGCAAGCGCCACCCAAGAATAGTTACAAAATGAGGTTCCTCGCTTCATTTCCAGTGGACAATGGCCACCAAAATCTGTGGATACCAATCCGTTGGACTATTGTGTCCCAATGGTCGCTCACCGCTCAGAATAGATGCTAAAATCTACGGATACCAATCCGTTGAACTATTGTGTCCCGATGGTCGCTCTCCGCTAGTATTAATCGACAGAATAAATGCGATCAGAATTATCGCGTAAATATTCTGGAGGGTGTATTAAAGCCTTGGGCACGCAAACATTTTGGCCGCAGACCTTGGACATTCCAACAGGATCATCGCACTCAGCACGCGCCACCCAAGAATGGTTACAAAATGAAGTTCCTAGCTTCATCTCTAGGGCAAAATTGCCACCAAAATCACCAGATACCATTCCGTTGGACTATTGTGTCTGGAGTATTTTGGAAAGCAAGGTTGGCACTAAAAAATACCAATGTGTCGATCACCTCAAGTAAGCGCTTCGTCAAGAAAGGATCAAAATACTGCAGAGCAACATTCACACAGAGTGTGACGGTGTCGTTGGCCGTTTGAAGGCCACAATTCGTACCAAAGTTGGTCAATTCGAACAAATCTAAACTTATTCTAAAATCTGATGCTATTTCCGACAGTTTTGCTTTCATTCAATAAAATTAAAAACAAATGCAAAAATTATGGCGTTGAACTCTGCTGCAATTTGTTTTATCCCACCCTGTATATGGGAGCTATATCCATATCTGAACCGATTTTAAACAAATTTGATGTACTTGCTTTCAGACCAAATTTGGTTTGTTGGGCCAAAATTCAGGCCATTCGGACTAAATTTTAATCGATTCTCACCAGTTTCAAAAGGGTTCGTTCTTCCTGGGCCGAACAAATATCCGTTTCTTCTCATTCGGATAATAAATGCGACCTGCATTTTGTTCGGAAAAATACATATACCCTCAGCCATAAGTCATATATCATTAGATACGGCCAAAACGTGCCTCATCGTAATAACGCATTTAAAAAATCCGTTTAAGCATCTTTGGACCAAATCCGTTTCAGGACATTTGGAGTCGATCTAGCGATTTTAGTCCGTCCATCTGTTTGTCTGGCTGGTGCGAACGATAACTCTCATATTGAGTATCCGATTTGGTCCAAACTTGGTATATCGTAATATTATTATCAAACTTAGATCGAGTTCGGAGATGGGTAATATCGGTTCACTCCTTCTGGTACCTGCCCCACAAATAGTCGAACTAAAAAACTGTATATACTTCACTGCACAGAAAGAGAAAGGATAATCAAAAGTTTGCTCCAACTTTGCTAATCCTAATATTTGCAACAGTGCTACATCAGGTTCTAATATGGCCATCCATCATGTACCTCCCCCACAAAGGGTCAACATTTCGAATGTCCATGATGTTCAAAAAAACGCGAAATTAATAACCGATTCCGTTCAGACTTGGTACATCTCAATGTTTCCATCATTGTTATAAAAAAACGGTAGAGATCAGTCCTTTTCTTCTGGTACCTCCCCCACTAAGAGTCAAATTTTGGAAAACCAAAATGTTTATAGAATCCAAAATAAGCATCAGTTTCTCTTTATATTTCACACATACAAATATTTTTGCTAACACAAGATCTATTGTGAGCATGGGATATATCGGTCCTCTCTTTCTGATACCCCGCTCCCCACAAAAGTTTAAAATTTTGAATATCCATGAAACTCATAGAAAGCGAAATCAATATCCGATTTCATTCCAGACTTGTTGTGTCTCAATTTTTTTCATTAACACAAGATCTGCTATAAAGATGGTAGAGGTCGGACCATTTCTTTTGCTGCCTGCCCCACATAGGGTTTGAGATTTTGAAAAACAAAACGCTCAAAGAAAGCGAAAAAAATTTCACACATGCAAACATTTTTTGCTAACACAAGATCTGTTCTGAAGATGATATATATCTGCGAACCGCTTCTGTTACCCACAAATGGTCACAATTTCCAATACTTTTATCTGTCATAAATTGCGAAGCACTGACTGATACTTCTTAACTTGTTATTTATTATTATTTTTATTTTTTTATACTCTACACCACAAGGTAGTCAGGGTATTGTGTCTTTGTGCATTTGTTTGTAACAGGCAAAAGGAAACGAGATAGACCCATAGTTCCTTTTGATGATCTGCATAGAATCACTTTCTAATTTGATTTATTCATGTCAGTCCGTCTGTCCGTCCGTCTGTCCATGTATTCTTGTGAACAAAATGCAGGTCGTATTATTATCCGATTGAGATGAAGTATTCCAAACAACATTTGTTTGGCTCAAGGACGAACCCTATTAAAATTGAAGACGATCGGTCTAAATTTTGGATATAGCTTCCATATATATCTTCGCCCGATTTGCTTTTTATTGTGCACCAACCGTGTAATATCAGCTCGAATAGTATGGAATTTTGCACGTACGACCAGATTGGACCTGAAAATAAGTATCCCGAATTTGACCGAAATCGGTTCAGATATAGCTATAGCTCCCATATAAATTTTTTATGCGATTTGTTATTTTTTTCCTCCGCAGACGTAATATGCACTCTGTAACAACAATACTTGGGGAAATATATCAAATACAGGGTTGTCCATATTCGACGGACCCATCTGGCAACGCCATAACTTTTGACAGAGATGTCACATCGCTTAATGACATACCGCGTTTCAAGCGTCAGTCCAAGCAGATTTTTACCATGAACCAATACACGCCACGCGAAATAGTTGAAGTTTACATTCAACAGAAGAAGTCAATTGTGAAAACTCAACGTGCTTTTAAAACATTAAAAAAATGTGAGAAGTGCGCCTTCTAAGAACACCATTAAGCGTTTATACGACAAATTTTCGACTGGTAAGGCTCTTTCTAATCCGAAGAGGCCATATAAAAGTCGACCAAGGCGATCGGCCGAGAATATCGCTGCCGTACGAGCCAGTGTTGAGTGGTCCCCAAGAACATCCCAAAAACACGGTTCTCAGCAGTTGGGCGTGGCTCGGTCCATTTTACAACGGATTATTCGCATTGATTTGCATTTGTTCCCGAACAATATTCAATTGACGCAAAGAATGTTGCCTGCGGACAAGCCTCGTCGATTGGAATGGGCCCAAAGAGTCATCGGTCCGTCGAATATGGGCAACCCTGTACAGCTCAGAAATACATTTGCTAAATTTTATCGAGATCGGCTCAGATTTGGATATAGCTCCCATATATAACTTCGTCCGATTTACCTTTGATTGTGCACCAATCGTCTAATATTTGTCCAAATGGGATGGAATTTAGCACATACGACCGAATTGAGTCTAGAAGCAAGTATGCTAAATTTGGTGAAGATCGGTTCAGATATAGCTATAGCTCCCTTATATACTGTTCATCCGATTTGTTATATTTGTTACCCACAGCCGTAGTATGCACTCCGTAACAACGATATTCGGGGAAATATATCAAATACAGCTCAGAAATATCTTTGCCAAATTTTATCGAGATCGGTTCAGATTTGGATATAGCTCCCATATATATCTTTATCCGATTTCAAATTAATTGTGCACCAAATGGGCAATACAAGTCCGAATTTCAAAGGTACAAATGCTTCGGCATATTTAGTCCTTTGAACTTTAAATTATAATTATAATCATAGGGTGTATGATTGAATTCTCCCATAAAAACTTTTAATTGTTATGTGGAGCTTTACTAAATTAGCAAAGTGGTGTAGGGTATCATAAAGTAGGCCCCGCCCGACTTAAAGACTTTCTTTACTGGTTTTTATTTTATTTCTTGGAATTTACTCTATTAACCTTCTCTCCACTCTCCTGTAGGTTGATATATTGGATACATCCGGCGATATGCAATTTCCTGCCATGCGACGTCTGTCCATAGCCACAGCGCATGCATTTATGCTCGTCTATGCCACAACATCTGGACCAAGTTTTCAATGTGTTAAACAATGTTTCGAAGAAATACGAGAGCAAAGAGCTGATTTTCAGGTAAGTTATGTTTAATGCCACAACTACAACAACAACAACTGGCAGAAAAAATATATATATCTGAAAATTGCTTATTTGTTGGAATTCAAAACCAAGGCCAGCAAGAAATCTCTAATTATTTCATTTAACTATCATTTGCATATTTGTGGTTATTAAAATAAGTTGGAATGCAAAGCAAACCATAGATTAAATCAATTCTCGAAACGGCAATTTAATTATTTTTATTAAAATCGAATTTCTTGGAAATTCTGGAATTTTTGTTGTTGTATTAATGCTGGCCTTGATGGAGTAATTAAAGCTAAGCGCAAAAGTCATTTTGTAGGCCATGTTAATGGTGGTTTAAATATTTATTTAACAAATTAATGGGAAAAAAAAAATAAATTAATCCCAAGAAATGAGAACCAGTTTGACCTCATGAAAATATGCAGAAAAAATGAAAAACGACGATCATAGTTTTCACTCCCTCCACTTTGGTGAAAAGTTGACTTATGGTCGAATAGATTATCCTCAATTTTTTTAATTTCATTGTAAGATGACTACGCACATAGGGGATATTCTCTGAAAGCAGTAAATTTACCACCAGAGATCACGGCATTGGGACTGATACCTTAAAAATTCAGAAAAACAAGATGTATAAAAGCCATAATAAAAAGTGGACTTTCAATGAATTTCTTGAGATGAGCTAACCTAATTATTTGATAGGAAATCGGGAGGAGAAGCCTTTTTCGTAGACTGTACAAAAACATAGAATGATACATTCCATTTTTATAATTCCAAACATATTTTCATATTTTTTTTTCATTAACGAATTTTATAATAAATTAAAAAAAAAAACGATTTATTTAAAAGATCTGAAGATCTTTGAAAAGTGTTTCCATGGCCAGGAATATCTGAAAAGCTCTTCTATGGCTAAAGACATTCCAAATGAACTTTCAATAACTATTTTGGGCGGCAGGCTTCTAAAAAGCTCTTCTGTAGTTAACGGCGTTTTAGAATTTTGAAAAGGTATTTAATGGCAGAGAACTTTTTGACAAGAGATTTCTCCATACAGGGTCAGATGAAAAAACTGCAACAAACTTCAAACAGGTGTCATTTCTAAGCCACTCGTCCGACAGCTATTAAAATTATTCTACTCACAGCTCATTATATTGTTTGCAAGCATACAAAAGCATCTTGGTGAGAATTTTTCAGAAAAAAAGTTATTCGTGATGGAATTCAAGCGTGATAGTGTGATTTCTTTATATTTGGCTGGAAAACCACAAGTGGCTATGGGTAGAGCACTCCAGCATTTAAATGCAAATAAATCTTTTGTGTCACGTACCATCGCTCGTTACCGTGATTGGTGGCTGGCAGCGTAGCCCGACGTCAAGGAAGTGGTCGGCAGAAAACAGCAACATCAGCAGAAATGGTTCGAAAAATAAAAAAGCGACTTGATCGAAACCCGCATCGCCGTGGCCGAAAATTGGCTCGTGAGCTGAACATATCGCAATATTCCATTCGGCCAATATTGAAAAAAAAAATCTGGGGGTAAAGCCATTGAAATTCCAAAAAGTACAAGAACTTACACCGCAACGGAAAGAAAATAGACCTAAAAGAACTAAAGAGTTGCTTCGCTTGGCCGAAAGTGGCGAACTGCCGAATTTTGGGTTTCTCCGATGAGAAAACATTCGTTGTCCAGCAGTTTGTAAACAAACAAAATGATCGTGTTTACTTGCCACAGAGATCAGCTGAAAATATGCACCTTCGGTTGGCCACCAGACTTCAAGCACCGGCCATGGTGATGGTGTGGGCCGCCATAAAAGCTTATTGTCGCTCGCCGCTCGTATTAATCGACCGGTGCATCAGAATAAATCTCGAATATTATCGCGAAAATATTCTGGAGGTTGTATTAAAGCCTTGGACACGCAAATATATTGGCCGCAGATCTTGGACATTCCAATAGGACTTAGCACCATCGCACTCAGCACGCGCCACCCAAGAATGGTTACCAAATGAGGTTCCTCGCTTCATTTCCAGCGCACAATGGCCACCAAAATCTCCGGATACCAATCCGTTGGACTATTGTGTATGGAGTATTTTGGAAAGCAAGACTGGCACTAAAAAATACCAAAGTGTCGAACACCTCAAGCAAGCGCTTCCCCAGGGTTGGGCCAAAATACCGCAGAGCAACATTCGGACAGCAAATGATTGTTTCATTGGCCGTTTGAAGGCCATAATTCGTACCAAAGGTGACCAATTCGAACAAATCTAAAGTTATTCTAATATTTTGCTTTCATTTAAAAAATTTAAAAAAGAAATGTAAAAATTATGGCATTTGACTTTGTTGCAGTTTTTTTCTCAACCTGTATAGGTCTACGATATTGAATAGCCCCATACAAGAGTACCCCCCGATATTCGGCATTTTCATGATTGTAGCCGAATTTTTCAATGGAATTGTCTGAAAACCCGCACAAGGAGTTACTTCTGAGTACTTTACACCTTGCAAGAGAATCGTCTACATGGGTCCACATTTTATTATAGCACACATATATAACAGTACCCCCGATATTCGGTATTTTCATGATTTTAGCGACATTATTTAGCGACATTATTTACCGGAATTGTTTCAAATTTGAAGTTCGTAATGGATACTACATCCAAAGACAAAAAATTGTCTATGCAGGTCCACGTCTTCGTATAGCTCTCATACATCGGTACCTCCCAATATTCCGTTTTAGGTACAATATTCATCTAATTTTTTTTCAAATTTCGTATTTGAAATTCACAATAGTTACTACAGCCTGTGACATTAAATTGTCTATGTAGATACAGATACAGCCTCCCTATATTCAGTATTTTGACGATTTTATGTACAATCTTCACCGGAATTGTTTGAAATTTCGAATTTGAAGTTCGTAATAGGTACTAAAGCCTGTGGCAGAAAATTGTCTGTGGAGGTCTACGTCTTCGTATAGCCCCCATATAAATATGCCTCCCTATATTCGGTATTTTGATGATTTTTTTCTTCAAGTTTCGCAATTGAATATTGCAATGGCGTATGAAAAAACTTTCCTATGCAGGTCCACGTCTTGGATTCAACTGCTTTATATGGTATTTTTAAGATTTCAATAGAATTTTTAACGGATTTTATGTGTATACTTTCAACAATAGTATGGAGGATATATTAAGTTTGTCATTCCGTTTTTAACACCTCGAAATATACATTTTAGACCCCACATAGTATATAAAAATATATGTCGATTTAGCGATGTCCGTCCGTCTGTCCGTCTGTGGAAATCACTCACCCGAACAAAATGAAGTAGGTTGATAAAATTTTACTCAAATGTGTATTATGTCTGCAGAACTTTTGGTATTGAAAATGGGCCATGTAGGTCCACGTCTACGTATAGCCCCCATATAACGGTACCTCCCGTTATGCGATATTTTGATGATTGTAGCGACATTATTCATCGGAATTGTTTCAAATTTGGTATTTGAAGTTCGTAATGGATACTACCGCCTAAGACAGAAAATTGTCTGTGCAGGTCCACGTTTTATAACTTCTATAGCACCTCCCTATATTCGGTATTTTGATGATTTTAGCTACATTATTAACATATTTTTTCAAGTTTCGCATTTGAATAATGGCATATGACCAAAGTTGCTCATGCAGGTCGACGTCAGACCCTAATATACGACTACATTCGGTGTTTTTAAGATTTTAACAGAATTTTTAACGAATTTAATTTTTTTTTTTTTTGATAATTGCCAAATTTGTACCAAATGGTGAAGAGTATTCAAGGTTCAGTCCGGCCAAACAGCTTTTTTATTTGTTTTGAATGTTTCCAAATTCGTTTCAAAATTCGGCCCAGCCGAACTTACTGTTTTTAACTTGTGGTTTCTCAAAAACCTTCTATTGAACAAGACTTCTGAGAATAGAGTTTAACATAAAAAAGGAATCCTTTCAGAAGGTGTTCCGCGTCTGATGTCAGGACCAACAGGTCCTGCCTGAATGTATACATTTCAAAACTATTTAAGGGTAAAAGACGTCTTCAAATTTCTTTTATGAAAAAGCCCTCTCAGAACGGCCCAACTAACTAATTCCTTATAAAGATGTTACATTCAAGAAATGCTCTCCAAAAAAGGTCTTCCATGGAACGAAAATGTCACTTTTTTATAGCTATCAATGGAGGATATCATAAAATGTCCATCAATGTCCCCTTCTTCCATTTTTATACCCTCAGCCATATGGGTACAGAGGGTATATATCATTTGATACGGTCTAAACGTGTCTAGTCGAAATAACGGTTTTAGACCCTAGGTCTCTTTGGACCAAATCCGTTTCAAAACATTTGGAGTCGATCTACCGATGTCCGTCCGTCCGTCCGTCTGTCTGTCTGGATGGTGCGCACGATAACTCTCGATGGGAGTATCCGATTTGACCCAAACTTGGTACATCGTAATATTTTTGTCAAACTTAGATCGAGTTCGGAGATGGGCAATATCAGTACCTCCCACACAAAATGTCAAAATTTTCAAAGAAAATAGTTTATTTCACAGAAAGGGAAAAGATAATCCGATTTTGCTGGAAATTTGCGAATATTATTTTCATATATTTTCATCAGTGCTAGGTCATGTGCGAAAATGGACAATATCTGTCCACTTCATCAGGGACCTCCCCCACAAAGGTTTAAAATTTTGGATAATTAAAACTCTTATAAAATATCATGTAAGAGTACGATAGTCTTCAAATTTCACATACCCAATAATTTTATTAGTCCAAGGTCTGGTGCGAAAATGGAATGTATCGGCCCATTCCTTCTGGCAACTCCCCCACAAAGTGTCGAAATTTTGGATACCCATGAAGCTAATAAAACGCCAAATTAACATCCGATTCCATTTAGACTTGGCACATCTCAACATTTCTATCAACACAAGATATGTTATAAAGGTGGTATAGGTCGAACCATTTCTTCTCCCCCATACATAGGGTTCAAGATTTTGAAAAACGAACGCCCAAATAAAGCGAAATAAACATCCAACTCTCCTCAAATTTCACACATACAAATATTTTTGCTAACACAAGTTCGGTTGTGAAGTTGATATATATCTGCCAACCCACAATTTTCAATAATTTTATCTGTCATAACTTTCGGAACAATTTAGCAATTCTTTACTACTTGCTATGCTTAAATATTTCTCTAAATTAGAAGCCTGATATGAATATGAAATTTATCGGAATTTATGATTTCGCATAAAATTGGACATAAATATCCTTTCTTTTATTGTTGCCAAATATTTCGCTCAATATTTTATATTTGTATCAGATGAAGTATAAAAGTGGAATATTTCGGTAGACTCTATCTTGTACATCATTCACATTTTAACATTTTCTAAAAATTATTACATATCTCATATATAGTGAAGGAGTTAGGAACGTCGGAATATTTATATCATATTTTGGGGTCCGATACGAAATAGACAATATTGGGCCATTCCTTCGGAACCTGCTCCATAGAGGGTAAAACGTTTGAATAATTGTAACACTAGTCAAATTATATTTAAATAACCGAACACGGGCTGAGGGTTTATATCTGTCGGCAATACCAACCGATACTTTTTAACTTGTTAATTGGTAATTTGCCATCAATTTAATATCCTCCTCATTTTATTGTACCAAACTGCATGTCAAGTAACAATCAAGAGACAGCAATGATACCCAACAACCATAATTTAACCTTAACCAATCAACATTATCCATGTGCAAATATGTATGTACATCTGTGAGACTGCAATTGTAGTAATAACCACAAAACCAATAAAAAAAAAAAACAAGTAATAATTCTGTAAGTTCGGCCCGGCTAAACTTTGAATACCCTCCACCATTTGGAACGAATTTGGCAATTCTCAAAAAGAATAAAATCCGTAAGAATCTTAAAAATACCGAATGTATCTGTTACATTAGGGTCTATACGACGACATGGACCTGCAAAGGTAACTTTTGTCATAAGCCATTACAATATTCAAATGCGAAACTTAACAAAAAAAACGGTTAATAATGTTGCTAAAATCATCAAAATACCGAATATCGGTAGGTACCGTTATACGAAGCTATACGAAGACGTGGACCTGCACAGACAATTTTCTGTTATAGGCTGCAGTATCCATTACAAACTTCAAATACCAAATTTCAAACAATTCCGGTGAATAATGTGGTTAAAATCATCAAAATACCGAATATGTGGAGAAACCGTTATATATGGGGCTATACGAAGACGGGGACCTTCACAGACAATTTTCTGTCTTAGGCTGCAGTATCCATTACGAACTTCAAAATACCAAATTTGAAACAATTCCGGAAAATAAATTCGCTAAAATCATCAAAATACCGAATATCGGGAGGTACCGTTATATGGGGGCTATACGAAGACGTGGACCTGCACAGACAATTTTCTGTCTGTGGCTGTAGTATCGATTACGAACTTCAAAAACCAAATTTGAAACAATTTCGGTGAATAATGTGGTTAAAATCATCAAAATACCGAATATCTGGAGGTACCGTTATATGGAGGCTATACGAAGACGTGGACCCATTTTCAATACCAAAAGTCCTGCAGACATAACATACATTTGAGTAAAATTTGTATCAATCTACTTCAATTTGTTCGGAAGCTAGAGTGATTTCCACAGACAGACAGACAGATAGACGGATAGACGAATAGACGGACGGACATCGCTAAATCGACATCGAATTTTATGCCGATCAAAAATATATATACTTTGTGGGGTCTAAAGTGTATATTTCGAGGTGTTACAAACGGAATGTCTAACTTACTATACCCTCCATACTATGGTGGAGGGTATAAAAATACTTCTTGTATTACAAATTGTCAAATTGACCTGCAAATAAACACACAAAAATCTCACATCATCATCGTCGTCGATGTCGATGACGACGTATCGTCATCAGCAAACTCTCCAAGCTCTGACCTTTGCAAACATGACCCAAACGACTACATCATGCTCTACACAGTTGTTCCTGTTGTTATTGTCCTGTATTTGCTTATATCATTTTTGTTGTTGTTTTTTTTTGCAGGACATACCCATAGTTATTGCCGGCAATAAATCTGATTTGGCCAAAACCCACAGAGAAGTCAAACTGGAGGAGGTAACAGACTGGGTCTATTGTGAATTACCACGGCTAAGGTAAGCTATTGTTGTTGTTGTCGTTGTTATTATGGTATTTGTGTGTGTGTGTGTTTTATTGCTAGTATATGTGTGTGTGCGTTTTCAGTTTTTTTTCTCATTTCTTGTATTGTGTGTTTTGCGGTCATTGTCGTAATTGATGCGGCCGGCTTTGTGGGTTTTTTTGTTTTTTTTTTTTTTTTTTAAACATTCCGAACGCCTTAGAGTAGAAACGTCCCTTTGATTTGAATGATTGAACACAATTGATGAGGCTTTTTATTGTTTGGTTTATGTGGCCCAGATGTCACAGGGTTGAAGGTGTCAATATTTCCAACTTGAAGCCGTGTGTTATTTGTTGTTTTATGGCTTTTTAAAAGGTGAGACACCGTAGAACTGTTGGAAAAGTTTGAAAGGCTCGGTGAATTAGAAAATAATTTAAGGGGAAATTTTATTAATTTAAGGGTATTCAAAAAGGAATTGGTATTTTATATAATCTCAATAGAGGATCTGCATATTGGTTTTGCATAGAAAAACATAACAAACCTCAGGTATTTTAATCTGGATTTGTGAAGATTCGAACTATTCTAGGAAACTTGGAGATGGAATGAGTAATTTTTTATACCCTCCACCATAGTATGGAGCGCATATTAAGATTGTAATTCTGTTTGTGACACCTCGAAATATAAATTTTAGACCCCACAAAGTATATATCAGCATAAAATTCTATGTCGATTTAGCGATGTCCGTCCGTTTATCTCTCTGTCCGTCTGTGGAAATCACTCTAGCTTACGAACAAATTGATGTAGATTGATTAAATTTTACTCAAATGTATATTATGTCTGCAGGACTTTTGGTATTGAAAATGGATCATGTAGGTCCACGTTTTCATTTAGCCCACATATAACGCTACCTCCCGATATTCGGTATTTTGATGATTTTAGCGACAATATTCACCAGAATTGTTTCAAATTTGTTATTTAATGTTTGTAGTGGATACTACAGCCTATGACAGAAAATTGTCTGTGCAGGTTAACGTATTCGTATAGCCGCCATAAAACTGTAACTCCCGAAATTCCATTCTCTGTGGATTTTAGCGACATTATTCACCGGAATTCTTTCAAATTTGGTATTTGATGTTTGTTGTGGATACGACGGCGTATAACAGAAAGTTGCCTGTGCAGGCTCACGTCTTCGTATAGCCCCCATATAACGGTACCTCCCGATATTCGGTATTTTGATGATTTTACCCACATTATTATTATTATTTATTTATTTATTTATTTTTTTTTTTTTTTGAGAGAGTTTCTCTTAAGACAAGGCTAAAGTCGGGCATGTCTACCATTTGATATCCTACTATACTGAAATTTCGGTAAAGTTTCTGCAGATCTGAAACCTTTTTGACTAGAATGAAGATATACCAGGTCTTACACTTCAAATAAAAGCTGCTGAGATTTTCTATGTTTATGTGACGCCTCTGAATATCGAAGGACTTTGAGGAATTGTATTTTTAAAAAAAAAATCTTTAGTGTCTTTTAGCAGTCCATTGAGGTCCACATGAGGCCTCCAGGGGCTTTTTTTCCATGTTATACCCTTCAACACTACAATACGTTGGAAGCCCCCTTATGTCCAAATCCATTCGAAAGATTTCCTTTTCGGAATGATATCATAGAGTCCTGCCCAGATGTTGCCCTTAAGTTTTAGACCGGGGCGATTTGCCTAATATTTACCTACTCCGTCGCATTGTAAGGTATTCAAAACAATTTCACACAAAGTTGTGGTCCATTTACAGCTAAACCCAATGGTCATCCAAAATTCTAGACTTCTTCTCTGTCAATAACTCTCTTCTCATTCAAAATTTCGTATCGATTGGTTTTCAATTGTGACCTGTAGAGCAAATGCAAAACCAGGAAATTTTAAATGATAAACAATAACTCTAAATCTGAGCCTAACCTTACCTCAATGTAAAATTTCGTAAGGAGCGCACGATAATTTCTCAAACCATCAAACACGACTGCTTCTTAAAAAATCCACGTTTATTGGTATTCAAGAGGTCCCTGGAAATAATATTCTTTCAGAAAGTGTTGCTAAAAAATATTCTTTCAAAAATCCTCGATTGGAATTCAGGAAGTTCCGCTTAAAATATTATTTCAAAAATCCTCGTTTGGAATTCAGGGAGTTCCGCTAAAAATCTTGTTTTAAAAAATTCACGTTTGGAATTCAGAAAGTTCTGCTAAAAATATTCTTTCAAAAATCCACGTTTGGAATTCAGGAAGTACCGCTTAAAATATTCTTTCAAAAATCCACGTTTGGAATTCAGGAAGTACCGCTTAAAATATTATTTCAAAAATCCTCGTTTGGAATTCAGGGAGTTCAGCTAAAAATATTCTTTCAAAAATCCACGTTTGGGATCCAGGGGTACTTGGAAAAAATATTCTTTGAAAAACCCACGAAAGTTCTGTCGAAAGTCCAAGTCTGAAATTCAGGAGATCCTTTAAAAAAAAACTATTTCAAAAATCCAAATTTTGGATTTGGAATTCGGGAAATTCTGCTAAATGAATATTCTTTCAAAAATCCAAGTTTGGAATTCAGGAGGTCCTTAAAAGATATTATTTCAAATATTCAAGGTTCGTATTCTGGAGGTCCTTAAAAAATATTCTTTTAAAAATCTACGTATGGGATTCAGGAGGTGCTTGATTGGTCCATTTCAGCAGCTAAAAATTTTTAATCTCTAGCCTTCTAAAAAATCCATGTTAACTACGAACATCTTTCAAAACAATGGACTTCTTTTCTGATACTATCCTTAACCCCATGCAAAATTTCGTAAAGAATATAAAATATGAAAAAAATATATTACAGAAAAATATTCACATTTCTATCCGATTTTTCTAGATTTTATTCTTTTCTGGCAAATAGCTATTCTGAAGTGGTGCGATTTATCGAAAACCGTCCAGCCTTTAATGAGTTATAAGCGGTCTAACTAACATCCCCTTCTTTTATATATGAGATTCTATATAGTTCGGTCAGAAGTTATTTCGCTGGAATTAATAATATTTGCGGCTGTGGTTCATTTTAACCACTAAATATTATTCGATGATCAAAATTTGTCGGCAAAATACCGATTCAGTTCGTTTATACTTGTGACCTTTGGTGCAATTGCAAAATCAGAAAATTAATATGTTTTTGGTCCATTTTAAAATAAATATTTTGAAATTAGAATAGAATAGGCTTCTATTCTGATCCTAATCCCACCTCCATACAATATTTCGTGAGGATCGGGCCATTAGTACATAGTTAGATCGACTCAGACATATTTAGATCGACTTAGCTCGATCAATGATCTATATATAAAATCCTATTTGCTACAACAATATTTCGAAGTGTTACAGCATTTTTAACCCAATCAAACGTATGATATCAGGTAAAGGTATCTCCATATCTGAATTTTTGCAGAAATTATAGTAATTTTCCTGGAAAACCGAAAACCTTTTCTGTATAAATTTTTGACATCAGTGGACCCAAATTACCCTAAAAAAGTATTTTTTTTTTCAAAATAAAAATTTAATCTCGGAAGGAAATGAATTAAAAAGGGAGGTACTGGTATGTGGGGCTTATACGAAGACCTTTACCTGCATACACAATTTTCTGTCACAGACTTTAGTTCCCATTACGAACTCTAAATACGTAATTTGAAACAATTCCGGTGTATAATGTCGCTAAAATCATTAAAATACCGAATATAGGGAGGTACCATTATATGGGACTATAGGAAGACATGGACCTGCACAGAAAATTTTCTGTCTTAGGCTGTAGTGTCTATTACGAACTTCAAATACCAAATTTGAAACAATTTCGGTGAATAATGTTGCTAAAATCATTAAAATACCGAATATCAGGAGCTACCGTTATATGGAAGACGTGGACCTCAACAGACAATTTTCTGTCATAGGCATCCATTGCGAACTTCAAATACCAAATTTGAAACAAATCCGGTGAATAATGTCGCTAAAATCATTAAAATACCGAATATCAGGAGGTACCGCTATATGGGGGCTCTACGAAGACGTGGACCTGCACAGACAATTTTATGTCTAACGCCGTAGTATATATTACGAACTCTAACTACGTAATTTTAAACAATTCCGGTGAATAATGACGCTAAAATCATCAAAATACCGAATATAGGGAGGTACTAATATATGTGGCTTATATGAAGACGTGGACCTGCAAAGACAATTTTCTGTCATGGGCTGTATCATCCATTACGAACATCAAATACCAAATTTGAAACAATTCTGGTGAATAATGTCGCATAGTGTCTCACTATGCCTCTAGAATTTTTTAAACCAAAAAGTGTACATGGGGGCGTATGATTGTTACACAAAATTCGGAGGACATAGCTCATACGCAACCATGACTGACATCTTATAAATCTTTCAACTTTAAATTCATTTATTTCTCTCAATTACTTTGTTCCCATGAATCTTGAAATACATATTAAATAATTACTCCAAAAATATGTATCATAAGTACCCAGCACTCAAGTAGTCTTAATAATATAAATAAATTAAATAAATGATATATCACACACCGTAACATATTGGTACTCAAAAAGTACTTACATTGCTGTAGTCGTTAGACATTTTAGGTTAGTTGGAAAATTAAACTCTGATGCAAATGTTCGAACGAAAAATGGGGGGGGGGGCGAATGTAATAAATTGCATTTAGCTCCCCATAAATACCGCATAAATGGACGATTTTTTATTGCCGCCGGAAGGAAACTGGAAAAAAAACACGAAATTGGGACATTAAATTTACTTGAATGCATGCCATTGCATGCCGGACCAAACCAAAGTTATTTGGGAAAACCATGAAAAAGTTGCGTTTTTTTTTTTCAGAAAGATATTATGGAGTTTAATGATACAACAAAAACATTGCTTCGAGGTCATTTGCCGATTGCGGAAAAATAAGGACAATTGCTGGCATTACTCATTGGCCTAAGTAGGCATTTAGGGTTTGTTAAA